ATCTTGAAATATTTTCTTTTTATTACATATATTCATTTTACAGTTTAGGAAATTGTTCATTAGCCTTAATAAATGAAAATTTATTAAAATTTTAATCATGCAAATCTATACATAACATCATACATATTTATTATAAGGTTAAATCCTAACTATCCTACTGCCTGTCGTTACTTTTATTTTGGCATTGCACAAGTCATGTCTTCTTCGGCTGTCCATGGCGTTAAAACACTAAATCCCTGCCTGGGATGTGGTTTAATTGATTTTAGTCTCTGGTGCAGGGTTTTTTATTATTAATTGTTTTTGGTTTTTAACTAGCTTTCAATAACTGCGGGTACTCTCAAATCGTACTTTCGTGTTAATTTGACCTGTGGACACAATTTGTAATGCATTTCTGTTATTCAATGTTTACTTATTTTGTGTTATATCTCGTCTTACTATTTTTAATATTACCACCTTTGATAAGTTTTTAGTATGACGAAAAAAAAATTTAACTTATACACTCGAACTATGAATAACAAATTTATTTTGTAAAAAATGTTTCTGTACTCCTAACAACAAAATTATTGTATTTGAATTTGCCTGTGTACGTTACTTTATTTAACCCCATTTTGTCCTGGGTTAGAGTTGTATTTTTGACATTGAAACATCTTTTTTATTTATATTGTATCATAGATCAAACTTGTTCGTTCGGTGTATGTTTGTTTCTTTTTGTGTATTGTCCTTTAGATCGAGTTAAGCCATTTCAATTGATATTTTATTGTGTGTCTTTTTATGTTGTAATGTTATACCATGTTAGTGTGAAGGTTGACGTTTAAACCCGCTGCATTTGTATGCACCTGTCCTAAGTCAGGAGCCTGTTGTTCAGTGGTTGTCGTTTGTTGGTGTGGTTCATAAGTGTTTCTCGTTTCTGGTTTTTAATAGATTATATATATATATATATAGATCGTTGGTTTTCCTGTTTGATTTGTTTTACACTAGTCTTTCTGGGGTCCTTTATAGCTTGCTGTTCGGTGTGAGCCAAGGCTCCGTGTTGAAGACCGTACTTTGACCTATAATTGTTTACTTTTTATACATTGTGACTTGGATGGATAGTTGTCTCATTGGCACACATACCACATCTTCTTATTTATAAAGGATATATTGTTTGGCACCATGAAGCCGTTTAAGTACCAAGCCACTTTTATGGCAAGCCAAAGTGGACAAAAGGAGTTATTTTTTTAATATTAAAAATCATTTTTTTATATTAAAAATCATTTTTTAATATTAGAAAATCATTTTTTAATATTAAAAAATCATTTTCTAAAATTAAGAATTCATTTTCTAATATCAAAAAATAATTTTCTAGTATTAAAAAATCATTTTTTGATATTAATAAAATATCGTATTTTTTAATATTTGAAAATGATTTTCTAATATTAGAAAATAAATTCTTTATATTAAAAAAAAATTCTTAATATTAATACTTGATTTCTTAATATCAAAAATTCATTTTTTAATATTAAAAAAACAGCTCTTTTTGTCAAATCCGGCTTGTTTTTTTAAATATTTACAGTGTTGAAGCGTCTGAATGAAAATTAATATTTGGGTAAAAAGCATTTTCTCCCTTCTACTTTTAAGCGTCAAAATTAAGGGGAGATTGTTTGTATAGAATGCACTAAGAAAAAGTTAGTCTTTTGCATTTTTCTAAAAAAATAGGTTCGGTGACCCCTTGTTTTTAATATTTCAATTTGTAATAGATAACAAAAGTACCATTTTTCACCAAATTTTAACAAATTCTGTCGTCAATTTTTATTTCAATTCATGAAACTGTGATTCTTCTCTATATATTTAATATAAAATAGGCTTTGAACAGTGGTTTTGCCAAAAAAACGAAGTCCGTGACCTAAGTATGTTTTTTTTTATTTAGTTTTCTTAATACCGGTCCCACTGCATGGGTACTATCTTCAGAGAAAATTAAAAAAAAATATGTCAATTTCTTATACCCCTGAACTGGGCACAGGACGTTTGCGCTTTTTTACCTGTAACACGATAGGACATTTGCGCTCCAAACACTATGGACATAATTTACGCTTTAAATTTTGATGCACCTGTATTAAATTGACCGGACATTTGCGCTTTTTACCTATAGTCGTCTACCAGAAAAGTATGACCTTAACTCTACCGGTCCTAAGCCCGGATATAACAGGAGGGAAGTCATAAGAAGCAAATATTGTAAAAGCGCAAATGTCCTATATAAAAAGCACAAATGTTCTTATTTGAAAAACGCAAATGTCCTATAAATTGAAGCGCAAATGTCCATTAAAAAAAGCGCAAATGTCCTATGAAAAAGCGCAAACGTCCCGCGCCGCCTGAACTACCTTTAAAAAACCCAGATGCCTTCAAGGAATGCCAACATTCAGAATACAATAGGTGTTTTGATAGTATTTTTGATAAGAGGTCAATTTCCTAATTTTACAATTAGAACTTAATAATTGCACCTCTTTAAATGTGCATTAGAATTACAATATGTTCTACACACGAAAATAATATTTAATGCATTAAAAGATGAAAAAGTGCAAAATATACATCTATGTTTTTTTTCAATTTTTTTTATTAAAACATTATTCAAATCATCTATGTTTAATTTAACTTTTTTTATATTTTATCTAAAAATTATGTCCTTTTATCATTTAGTTTGTATTCTTGTTATATTTTTTTATTCAGTTGGCCGAAATGTCAGAGAAAGAAACGTCCATTGGCCGTGAACTTGTCTCGATTACCCAAACATGCTTTCATCATAATATGCAGTCGCTTCTTAGTTTTACTGAATAGTTCATTTTCTGGAATAGGGTCGCTATTCTACCAATTTAGTATCTGGATTAGACTACTTCCACTTTATCTGATTCAAGAGTTTTACAAAATCATTAGCATGCACATGCAAAATAATAAATGAAGGCATACCACAACTCATATATTATATGTCTATGTTTTATGTTTTATTTTAAACTTCCATTGGCTTGTAAGGGTATCTTTTTTTCAACTCGGGCACATATGGGTGCGTTTCATAGGAATATATGAGTTGTGGTGTGCCTTCAACATGGGCAGACCCAAGAGGGGAAGTAAGGGGTGTACACCTCCCCCCCTTTTTGGTTGAAAAAAAAACACGAAAAATACGTTGTGAACTACCGAATTAGACTTATTACCGGGTTTGTACTAAAATGAGCGACCCGATGGGTGCCACATGTGGAGAAGGATCTGCTTACCCTTCCGGAGCACCTGAGATCACCCCCAGTTTTTGGTGGGGTTCGTGTTGGTCAGTCTTTAGTTTTCTATGTTGTGTTTTGTGTACTATTGTTTGTCTGTTATTAAAAAATGAATTTTGAATATAAGAAAATACTTTTGAATTTCTAATATTAAATAATGAATTTCTAATATTAAAAAATGAATTTCTAATATTAATAAATGATTTTTTTAAATTAGAAATTGAATTTTAAAATATTAAAAAATGATTTTCTAATATTAAAAAATGATTTTTTAATATTACAAATTCATTTTCTAATATTACAAATTCTTTTTTTAATATTAAGAAATATGTTTTTCTTTTTTAATATTAGAAATGATTTTCTAATATTAAAAAATGATTTTTTAATATTACAAATTCATTTTCTAATATTACAAATTCTTTTTTTAATATTAAGAAATATGTTTTTCTTTTTTAATATTAGAAATTCATTTTTTAATATAAGAAATTCATATTTTAATATTAGAAAAGGAATTTCTTATATTTGAAAATGTTTTTTTAGTATTAAGAAATAGCTCTTTTTGTCCACTTTCGCTTGCCATACATTTTGACATTTTGTTTTCTTAACAATTATTTGATCATTTTTGATATGGGCGCATTGCATTTGCGCCAATTTTTACAAAATCCAATCTTTCATTTGCGCACAAGGTTATATTTCATTTGCGCCAAAAAGTAAAAACTACATTTGCGCCATTTTACAGGTAACATATAACGGAAAAGTTTAAAATATTCATTGCTATATCTTGAATAAGATTTGTTTTAAGTATTCCCCTGGGTAACTAAGTAAGTTCATACTTATTTTTTAATATAAAACTGATTCACTTAGGTTTAAAATTATAGTGTTCACATGGTTGAGGTGTCAATTCTGAGATAGTTTCCGTTAGTTTTCTCAGAATTGGATTGTTTCATATATTTCATGTTTGATAGCCGACCGACTTTACGGAATAGGTTTTAGAAGACCGTACGGTTGTCTATGATGACTTTTATCCACTTCATTTGAACTTTGGTGGATAGTTGTCTCATTGGCAATCATACCACATCTCCTTATATGTATATAGAGGAAATAAGTCTGTACTTTTTTATGACCACACATATAAGTTATCCAGTGTAAATGAGTACATCCGAGCCGTTGCTTACAAGTCTGTGTCAGAACAAAATTTCGGTTTTACTCCAGTGTATAGTGCTTTCTTTTAGTTTTTATGATCTCGTTAATTTATAACAGAACTGTGTTTTAACATTGTCAAGAAAAGTCTCTTATTAAGAACGTATCAGTGTATAGTCTCTTTTGAATAAAACTGTTTTTATACCATTTACCAGTATTTACCTGTATTATTGGCGCAAATGAAATGTTTTGTTTTGGCGCAAATGAAATATGGTTTGTGGCGCAAATGAAAGATTATTTTGGCGCAAAAGCAAAGCACCGATTGATATTTATTAAATAAATTTTAATTACAAAGTTGCTTTATATATAAAAGTTCAAGAAAAATACAAAAATGTTTTTTTTTAAATAATAAGTGTTTTCTTATTCAAAGAAAAATAATCTCAAAACTGAATTGTGACTTTTTTTCCTGTGACTTTTTGTCCTGTGACTTTCTGTCCTACATTCGTTTATATCACCGGTATACTTGAGTCTTGGCTGTTGTTTATTATTTGATTACCTGAACTTGGTGATCGTTTATCCGGAACCAGTACCGGAACTGGTTAAACTTTTACATTTTCAAAATGTCAGCCTCCATTCATCGCTCATGAGCTTTTGAACATTATCATTTAGAGGGAAAATGCCGACCGATACTCGAAGGATAGGCGGTCCAGAGGAATCTTTCAGTCCTTTGGCATATACTTTAACCGATAGTATAAAAACTTTGATGGTAATGAAATTAAACACTGATACACTGCCATCATACAGCTTAGCCAAAGATTTGTATACATGTAGTAAGACATACAAATCCTTGCTTAGCTAACAGTGCCAGTCAAAATAGTGTTTACTGTTTAAACAGTGTTTTATCTTAATATAGATAACTACACAATGAAATATACTGAGCATAGATATTAAGTAACTGTGCATAACCTTCAAAATTTCTCCATGGAGGCTTTAGGCAATAGATGAGCAGTATTTTAAAGATAACAGATAATTGATATTGTCATTGTCTATGATATTATACTTTTATGAATATTAATAGTAAACAGGAAAAGACAGATATTAAGGACAGAGAATAATTAAACAGTAAAAGGCTGAACTCTAATTAAAAAAATATAAGCAAACCAGAAAAAAATATATAGGCATGTCAGGGCATACTCTTGCTGGTTGTAATAAATTCAGTTCAGGGCTTAAAAAATCCACTACCCCGACGCCCGGGACTCAACATTTAGGCCTCGGGCAATCAAAACTTGTAACTCAATATGCCCAACGGACTAGTAACAAAAAAATCTTGGCGTTTCCAAAATCAAATGAAAATAGAAAGTGGGAAATCCCCTCATCACTATGCTATCTTAGCCAATCAGATTCAACTACGTCATCCGGGATTCCAAGAATTTGAACTGATTTTGTTTTAAAAATAGAACAAATAACTCTGGATGTTCCGGTATCATGTATTGATCGACATTCTGGTACTTTCAATATTGATTTGTCATTACAGGGGGTATTGACATAATAATTGTACATTGTCATTGATTATGCAAGCAGAGAAATATAATGTAAACTGATTGTACCTCCTTCTGAATAATTTAATGCAATATAGATGTGAATCCCTTTTGACATGTTTGACAGGAGAAATCTGACTTTTGTCAGATATAAATTTGTTACATGTGCATAACCACATGTCATGCATGTTATGGACACCTTTTTGTTTGTTTACATACTGTGAAGAAGTCTCGAGAACCATGACCTAAACATTAACAGTCTTCAGAAAACTTAAACTTGGTGCAATAATATTTTATCAATCAGCAAAATCTTCATTCAAATAAATTTGATTTTCAAAGAAATAAAATATATAACAAAAACAATTTCTGTTCAGAGTCTGTAGTCTGTAATCTATTTATAGCCCAATAAGCTTACTTGTGATTAATGTAAATATGGATATTAATTCATTTATAAAACAAATATTAAAGACACAAAATATCGATGGTTGATATTTATTCACATAAATATTTCAGGTCATTTGATTTATTTCAATAAATAATAGGATTTTAAAACTGAAAACAAATATGAGCATTACATAACAGGGACTTTCTATACTATGTTTTAGTATAGACTTTCCCTGTACATAACCAGCTGATAATTCTTTTGCACATCTGATAAAAATCACTCCAATCCTTTTATATATACATGTATAGCAGTGGTCAAGGCTTATACCATCTCAGGATTTGGTCAACTCATTATTGCAGAATATACAATGAATATACATTTATCGACTACTTGAATATATCGGGTAATGGGATATCTTTTGCTGACATAATTTTTGGGTATCTGATTTGCCGACGGATAAAAAATTGTTAAGTCAGTTTTGATTGGCTAGCAGTTCTTCCAACAGGGCTAGTAAGCTAGTGAGCTGTAACAAAATTTTTTAACCCCTGCAGTTGAGGATTATCTCCAGGATATATACTACTCAATATTTTTACCTTGATTCTTTAAAGTGAATTATTTGCTAGAATTTGAGAATTTGAACACATATCCCATCTGTGACAAACTCCACTATATAGCACATAATGCATGTAATGTGGCCTCTTCTGGTCCACCTTAACATATGTTGAGTAAAGGCTTAAAGGGCAAAAGCTCACTTGACTTTTATTTTCAATACTACACAGTGAAATCTTGGCCTATCAATCATTATGCATGCACAAATTTGCATAAAATATTAAGATTTTCGTTAAATAAGGTATGAACTTGATAAATATAGAAGCTAAATAATTTATCTTTTCCATTTGAAATATTACTTACGGTATCTATTTTTGTAGAAGATGGATGCAAAAATGTGACATTCTTTTTTAAAGTTCTGTTACATACACTTGACCTTAACTTTTTGTAGGTGTCTTCAAATGGAATTCGTAATGATGGACGAAAATGTGAGGATCTCAGAAAAATGTGTAAGTAGAGCAATTTAACAATTTTTTGTCCAAGCATAATGTGGCAGGTGAAGTTGAATTTGCTTAATCATCACTAACAAAATAGATTTTTAAATATTACTTCCAATGTTACATGTACAAATGTATATGCCATTTTTTGGTGTGTTACTACATGTAAGTGGGCAAACAAATACCCTTAAAGCTGTGTATTGTTTTCTGAGTGAAATTTAATAATATATTTTATGAAATAAAAACCCATATATCAGTAAGAGCAGGGGGCAATTCAAAACACAAGTGCATCTTGCAGAAAGTGAAAACATTATCTTCTGGATGCTGCATTCAAAAAAAGATAATAATAAAAAAGTATCCAACGATTGCTAACAAGTTTTAACATGTACATATACTTACACTCAATATATTTTATTGAATAGTCTTTTTAATGTGTTTACTTAAACCAATTGGTCTAAAGCTACGTTAACCCTAAAAAGATACCAGAAAGTCAAAAAGAACAGAACAACACCATTTCCAAAATGAACAAAACATGGAGAAAAGTTCACAGAATACAGCTCAGACTGAAAAGATTACAATGTAAAACCCATAGATAAAAACCTGATAAGTAGGTTCTCCTGAAATGTAAACAATTTCTCCTCCACTTGTGATTACTGTTGTTTTACTAGTTTATGTTGTCTAGTAATATCTGTGGAAGTAAGAAAATAAAATATTTAATTAACCAGTAACCCAACAATATGCTTTTCAAAAACAGAAGTTTTTTTTATATGTTCATTATTGTGACTTTTCTTTAACAGTTATCAAAACAGGAGTAATAAGCCAAGCCAGAGGTTCAGCTTACATTGAACAAGGGGAGACCAAAATCATTTGTTCTGTGTAAGTATTATACATGTACATGAAACATATTATTGTGAGAGTGGTAGTATGGAAATAGAAACATGCCATTCAAAAAATCAAGGAGTCATTATTGAGTTGTTTCTTATATTCATAAGTATTTGATCTACTAAAGTTCATTGAATATAAAATGTATGTAATATGAATTTGAATGACCACTGTCCTCTAGAAGACAACATAACAATCTAATTCAAAGGTGGAGGTTCAATTTTAAAGAACAATTGTTATCTTTATGTGATATGATATCTTACATTAATGTACTACATAGTTACATTTAGATTTGGTTTGGTTTTGATAGATACTGTATATTGTTTTTTTTTGTCCCATGTGTTTACTTTTTGCTTTGTTCTCTGCAGCTAAGAAATGCCAAAAACTAACTGCAGGAACATTCCTAGATTTTTTGCTGTTTAAACATTTCATACAATATTCTGTTAATTATTGAGTATACACGGAATTTTGTGTAAACTCTTTTCACCCTAAAGGTGAAATAACATTATATATAAATTCAGTCTTTTGTGTAGATCATCATCAGCAGATCACAAAACATAAAGATCTCTGTTTTCATAATAATTAAATTGGCTAATCATACATGTCATCAGGCCTGGGGCCATTACATTGCAATGTAATGCATTACATTACAATTACTTTGTGATTCTTCCATTACAATTACAATTACATTTTTTCTCACATGTAATGCACTACATTACAATTACTTTGCCTGTGTAATGCATTACATTACACATTACTTTTTCAATATAAAAACTAAAAACATTTAAAAAAACATTTTTTTTATAAGAAATTGATAAATATTACCGGGGTATATGTACATATATATACAGTGTTAGTGACATAGACTTCAAATACTTGAAAAATAAATAAATTATCATATAATTTTGTTTCTAACATTGATCACTTAATCATTAAGACATCATAAAGGGATTTCAAAGGGATATAATAAATGTGCAATTAAAGGATTATCTTGTTAACTTTCATTGAAATACATGTAAGGTGTGTATAGAAAATTATGAAAATTTCATCTTCATATTTTTTCCATTCATCTATCTGTATAGTTTTGTTTAATAATTATTTTTAGAAGATTTTTTAAGGGCATACTATCTATAATGATTTAATACAGTTATTAACTGTGACAATAATTTTATTCAATACTTTCTTTTGTTTTTGTTAATATTTTATTTTTATTTTACTATATTCTTCAATTTTATGTATTTTACCAATTTGTAATGAAAAGTAATGTACAGTAATGGAGGCATTACATTGATTTTTAACTAAAGTAATCATTACATTACATGTAATTGTAATGCAGAAAATGTGCATTACAAATTACTTTGCATTACATCAAAAAAATGTAATATTACAATGCATTACAATTACAAATTACCATTACCCCAGGCCTGCATGTCATACCTTTTGACAACAGAACAATCAGTCACATGGTCATAAATGTTTATTAATGACTATCTGTAGACTGAATATTTTGCAAATAATGTAAAATAAATCACATTTACATGGATATTTGCATAAATATGGTTAAATGATGCTCTCTTTTACCATTACAAAATAATCAAAACCTTCAACTTTTCATCTACAATGTACAGAAATAACTTTCTTTGAATATTTTCTAAATTATGTGTATTTTTGTTTGTAGTACTAATATTTATTTGTTATAGATTCTCTGTCTGTCAATCAAGTTTTTTGTTGTTTACATCTTTATACGTTACTGTGATTTTTTTCACATGTATTTTCCCTATCAATGAAAATAATACACAATGTAAATTTAATAATAATATGTCCAAATCGCTAAAAAGAGCTGATGTGAAAAAACAAATATATGGTACATGTATGTTATTGATGCATGCTCTTTTGAAGGTCATACTATGAAATGCAGGGGCAGATAATCACACAAAGTATTAATGTGCTGTTTCCTTGACATTGTTTTTAATTGACATCATAGATTCACTGAAAATACTTTTGACTTCATCAGGTCTGTAGCAAAAATAAAAAAGCAGTTGTAAAGGAAAACCTTTTGACACACATGAAATCTACTTTGGGGTGTAAAGGTCAGAGCAAATGAAAATGTGTTACTTTTCTATAATCAATTAAGTCCAATTAATGACAGGGATTTATTTAACATTGTGATGAAGGTTGGATTGCTGGCATAGTGGCATGACACATTATTGGAAATCAGATCTTAAACTTTTAAGAAAAGCTAAAAGCACATAGTTTTACCTTGTGATACACAGATTTGCTATTTCTTTGAGTTGTTAAGCCACACCAAATCACACAAATCTAAGTTATAATGATTTGAATAATTTTATTCAATCATGTTGATAAATTTTTCTTTTAGATATGGTCCTAGAGAAGTTGTCAGAAAAGAAGAATTCAGTATGAAAGGACAACTTACCTGTGAATTCAAATATGCCACTTTTTCCTGTAGCTACAGAAGACAACATCAGCAAGACAGTGAAGAGAAAGATTTTTCTGTCCAGTTACTAGAAGCATTAGAACCTGCTGTTTGTCTGGTAATTCAACACTGAGAATGTATTAGATGTTAAATATGGAGACAAATTTGTTGTGAATTGTTCAAAATAAGTATTTGTTATTGTTAGGTAATCATGGTTATAGGAACACCATTACAGATAATTCATAAATATTGGCTATTCTTTGTAATTCAAGGAATATTACGACTAGATTGCACTCTTCTAACTATTTATAAAATTAGGATAGTTTCATTTAAAATATAATGCATCCAGGATTTTTGTTTCAAACAGATGGATACCATCTATTTGACACCATCCTATAACATTCCTATTATAAATGTTACAACTTCTGACTTTTGTTTCAGCACAAGTTTCCCAAAGCTCAGGTTAACATCTTTGTAGAAGTTTTACAGAATGATGGCAGTGGTGAGTGGTAATAAAATTTAATCATGACAGATTACTATTTAGTTCAACTTGTTACTTTTCTAAAACATTTACACTGAAATTACTCTATAATATATACATATTGCATATGAGTTGACACACTGAGTGACATATCTTGCCAACTGCAATATTAAAATTTTCTTTAAAGGGCAATGATCTCTAAAACTCACTCGTCAAATAAAATCTGTCAGGTGTACACAAGACTGACATGCTATTAGCAACCATTCCACATACCAAATAATGACGATATATCATGCATAGATATTGAGGAATAGACTGCATCTGAAACCAATCCACATTCCAAACATTGTTGACCTACAAAAGTATTTGCTAAACAGAAATCATTCTGAAAACTTAGCATTAAAGTTCCAAAAAAGAAAAAAGAAATAGAGGACGTGCTAAATGAAACAAACTGCCGAAACAATCAACAGAGTTTGATGTTTGTCTTCAGTGTTATAATTTTAGATGCAAAGTCTTTAGCTACTTGAAAGTGAGAAGAAGATTGAAATTCTAAATAAAGGTGGTAAAAATTCTACTTGTTAAAAGTATTGCAAAAATTAATACAATACAAGTAACAGCGGCTTATCTGCATAATGCAATGTATGATTGATTTGTAACTAAAAGAAAAGAATAAAAAGTTTTTTGCAGCTGGAGTGATTGAAGGTAAACTATAAAACAGCCATTCAGATTATATGCACCTAGTTTGTGGTGTTGTAATGGAATGTTCAACTTAAAACAGAATAATGTAAAGGGCAGTTTTAATAGATTTGATGCATAAAACCCCATGCATACTGTAAATTCAGAAATTATTGCGATGTTTTTATTATTGCGAAAAATGCGACAGGGTAATAATCGCAATAATTTAAACTCGCATTTTGAAATTTTTTATATGAATTTAACAGGATTTTTCTCAATATCGCAAAAATTAAAATCGCATTTAAGTTTAAAATGACAAAATCGCAATAATAAATGCACGCAATAATTTCTGAATTTACAGTAGTATACTTTACATTTTTAATTGCTATGATATATTGACATATTTGAATTTTATATGTTTCATGCATTACATAATAAATGTCCTAATATCTTACAGCATTAGCAGCTTCTATAACATGTGCATCAATGGCCTTAGCAGATGCTGGAATAGAGGTTTATGATTTGGTAATAGGTTGTTCCATGGTAAGATGAGTTAAGATAAGATACTGCATCTTCTATGTAATCATGAGGTCAGTCCAACGTTACACAAAAGATAGATATATAGATATTTCATATACATTTCAAACAAAGTTAGTGTTTTTACAATAGAACTTCAATGGATTGAACTCAAGGGGACTGACTTTCCATTGTGTGACTAAATGAAACTTCTCTGTTGGATTTATGCTATTTGAAACACATATTCATGATTTACTATCAATATGGTTAACATAAAAACATTCAATAAAATTAAAAAAATATTTTTATTTAGATAAAAATAATTAATTTTAGAACTTAACATATTTACCACATTTTGTATTTTAAAATGAATTTCTTTTATTAGAATTAAAAAAATGAAGTGGGGGCTTTTGTCCTAGGTGAGAGGTCCTTTGGCTTTATCCGGGAGATTTTGTCCTGCTCCTGTCTGATTTGTGTAACAAAAACATGTTTGATTTAAATGAATTATTCTCCTTTTTTGTATTTGAGAAGCTGAGTTATCCATCATAAGAATTGAATTTGCCAACCCAAAGATTATTATTGGCATATTTCAAAATCACAGTGCCTGACATGATTGACTTATTTCCAAAGCACATTACTTCATCTATAGATTTGAAGTTATCTTCCAAAAATTATATATAAAAGACAAAATACAAAACTTCTTTTTTGGGCTGCAGTTTGACTGTGATAAGTTGTAATGAGTAAACTTTTCCAGTTTGACTGTGATAAGTTGTAATGAGTGAAAACTTTTCCAGTTTGACTGTGATAAGTTGTAATGAGTGAAAACTTTTCCAGTTTGACTGTGATAAGTTGTAATGAGTGAAAACTTTTCCTGTTTGCCAGACACATACTTTCTGATTTGCTGATACTTTGAATTTTTCAATATGTTGAAGAACTAAATTTTTGTCACACATTTTTCCAGCACTACTGAAAAGAATGACTTCTTATGTGATCTCTAGCTTGACAGTGATGACTTAAAAGGTGTAAGGGATTTTCAAATTTGTCTGACCCCAACTTCCTATTTTCCTATACTTCAAATTATGACTTAGGGTATGCCTAGCATGACAACACTTGCACTTTCTTATTTCTTTCTTTGTGACAGTAAATGAAAATTTGCATTTTTTACAACTACAAGTAGAAAAATGTATTGAATCCTGAAAAAGTATCATTATTTCATGTGTAATCCTGACTTAACATCATCCAATTAATCATCAACTTGACCCTTCATTATCATAAATATTAACAGACAGGTAAACGTTAATGTGAATACCAGTAGACAGGTTAACATAAATATGAATACTGGTAAACAGGTTAACATAAATGTGAATACCAGTAGACAGGTTAACACAAATATGGATATCAGTAGACAGATAAGCAACAATATAATATTGATTTTCTTAATTTTGTTTGATCTCATTTCATTATAAAATATATGAATGAAATGTAAATTATTTATTGTAACCTGTATCAGACTGATGCATTTTTGCAGGTTGAATCAATCATTAAAGTTGGGTTTCCTGCTGCTGCCTTCCCTAGTTTCCCTTTTTCAGCTGATATTCATTTCATTCACTAGACATGCTGATCACATGCACATCCCATCTCCTACTATGTTCAAATTAAAGGTTGTATGCATACAGACCCAATTGATGTCGAATTATTGTCTTGCAGACAATAATACATGTATATCGGCTAGTTTTTAATGTTTTTTCAAAAATTAAACCATGGAGAGTTGTCTCATTGGCACTCATACCACATCTTCATAGTGTATTACCTACTCATAACGTTATGAGTAACTTAGTTTGACCAAATCTATATTTATTTACAAATAGATTTAGATGGAGCAAAATGATTCTGGTCATTTAGTAAAATGTTATTTTCACAAATATCTTGCAATGAACCATAACCTGTATATCCATGGTTACAATAAGACCCTGTAAAAACCTGTGAAAACACTGCATACAATGTTGTATTTAAATTGACTACTGGAACATGGCCTCCATAATGATAATATATGCAAGATTTTGATTTGTCATCTTTATTGCAGAAAATTTGTGAAGACAAAGTTCTAACAGATCCTACAATTAATGAAGAATATGACAGTCAGGTAAGTTGTAAAGGCTTGTAGGCTGTTTGTTATATTGGATAGTAACTGGCCATTTTTGTGTCACCTGACATCAAAGGTGTAGAAACACATAGGAATCATTTCCTGTATTTTACAGATAAATGCACTAATTTATTTTGCAATAAACATTTACATACAGTCTGTGATTAAATTTTTAAACATCAATAACTTTGTGAAACTCCCATGGACTGTAACGAAACTTTGACAAAAATTTCTTCAAAATCAAAAAATAGAATCTGAAGAAAATTTAAAGGTTTTTACCTATTTAACTGATAAATGGACTTAGTTTTTGGCAGTCAACATTACTGTTTTACACTGATAGTAGTAATCACAGGCGAGACACAGGAAACAAACGGTTCTTTGGCAGTCAACATTACTCTTTTACACTGATAGTAGCAATCACAGGCGAGACACAGGAAACAAACGGTTCTTTGGCAGTCAACATTACTCTTTTACACTGATAGTAGCAATCACAGGCGAGACACAGGAAACAAACGGTTCTTTGGCAGTCAACATTACTCTTTTACACTGATAGAAGCAATCACAGGCGAGACACAGGAAACAAAGGGTTCTTTGGCAGTCAACATTACTGTTTTACACTGATAGTAGCAATCACAGGCGAGACACAGGAAACAAAGGGTTCTTTGGCAGTCAACATTACTGTTTTACACTGATAGTAGCAATCACAGGCGAGACACAGGAAACAAACGGTTCTTTGGCAGTCAACATTACTCTTTTACACTGATAGTAGCAATCACAGGCGAGACACAGGAAACAAAGGGTTCTTTGGCAGTCAACATTACTGTTTTACACTGATAGTAGCAATCACAGGCGAGACACAGGAAACAAACGGTTCTTTGGCAGTCAACATTACTCTTTTACACTGATAGTAGCAATCACAGGCGAGACACAGGAAACAAAGGGTTCTTTGGCAGTCAACATTACTGTTTTACACTGATAGTAGCAATCACAGGCGAGACACAGGAAACAAACGGTTCTTTGGCAGTCAACATTACTCTTTTACACTGATAGTAGCAATCACAGGCGAGACACAGGAAACAAAGGGTTCTTTGGCAGTCAACATTACTGTTTTACACTGATAGTAGCAATCACAGGCGAGACACAGGAAACAAAGGCTTCTTTGGCAGTCAACATTACTCTTTTACACTGATAGTAGCAATCACAGGCGAGACACAGGAAACAAAGGGTTCTTCATAACGCTTTATGAACTATTTATATTTATATTATGAGACATACTGTTGCATTCAAAGACTGATTGACATGTTGTTGGGTTGCATGCATAAACTAGGTAGCACAATGTTAAAACTTATCTGTGTAAATTACTGAAGTTAAGCATTAGAATTCAATTTTCTAGAATATTAAAATTTGATGAATTTATATTTGTAGAATAGTAAACAGCTAAATCATGGTAGTTTAACAATAGGATTTATGCCTTCATTAAACCAGATATCAGCTATAACATCTAAAGGAGAAATTCAGATTGACTTTCTTAAAAGGGTAAGTTAAGTATCCGATGCTAATTCAAGAGTTTGTAACCTTTTTATCCCCCCATCACTCAGTGGCTTAGGCATATATTGTTATCAATGTCTGTCCTTCTGTCTATTTGAAATCTAGCAGTTGTCAAGACTGTCGTACATTAAGCATGTACATTTTGACTTGATTTTTGGTCCTTAGCATATAATGATGAGTTACAAATAAGCTGCTTTTTGTTAATGGTGACCTCCTTTTCAGTGAATTTTAAATAATTGTGTTGTACTATAAATTTTATATTTCATATTTCTGAAAATCAACAGTGCCTTATACTGTACTTTGCCTGTACATAGCTTATTTTGGATATATAAGTATTTCTCTTATGGTTGTGGACTGTTGTCTATTCCCTGCATGATGTGATATTTTTCATATCTTTCTGGACAGTGTGATATGAATAAGTGATACAAAAATGTGTTAATTTTGTTGGCCTATCCTGCAATATGACACAGATTGTGACATTTCTTTTGGCTATTTGATGGGTCAATAATAACTTTTTAAAGGTTATGTGGGACTACGTTTCCTACCTGATGTAAGGTAATGATCTGATATGTCATTTCTCCAATGATATACAAAACTTTCACATTTTTCATCTGAAAATCATCTTTTTGTCAAGTTTGATTCCATCATGAAGCATACAAAAAGCTTTAAAAAACTGTATTTAAAAGTTTGATGTAGGAAGCAGAACTATTACATGTAAATGACAAGAACAACAAAGGAGTGTTTGTTATTATATTGAAATTGAATAGCTCAAGTTGATATAAATCACTATTCTATCCTCACTCATTATGAAAACCATAGTTTATGGTGTTACAGATCTAGTTTAGTTTACATTTGGTTTCAAGTGTCCTCCTTTTTTGAAACACAGCTGTTGGACTTTTTATGCCTGCCTTTAAGTAAGTTGATAGATAGATAGATACTTTATCCTCTAAAACCAATTAACAAAGGTACAGAAAAGAAACAATAGTTTAATATACTGTATAAACATTAATTTTCGTGGGGGTTAATTTTCTTGGTTTTTAAGTTCAGAAAAAATTAGGTAAATGTCACTTTATAATTAACAATATTCAATAAAACTAATCTTAACTTTCACCGTAGGGAAAAATCAATAATGCACTTGGCGTCCGTCGTCGTCTGTCGTCGTAAACTATTTCAAAAATCTTCTCCTCTGTAACTAATGGGCCAAATACCTTCAAACTTTAACTAAATGTTCCTTAGGGTATCTAGTTTATAAAACGATCCGAAGTTTTGATCCATCGACAAACATGGCCGCCATGGCTAAAAATAGAACATAGGGGTCAAATGAAGTTTTTGGCTTATATCTCAAAAACTAAAGCTTTTGGAGCAAATCTGACATGGGGGTAAAATTGTTCAATTGGTCAAGATCTATCAGCTCTGAAATTTTCAGACGAATTGAACAATCCATTGTTGGGTTGCTGCCACCGAATTGGTAGTTTTAACAAAATTTTGCTGTTTTTTGTTATTATTTTGCATATTATTATAGATATATATAAACTGTAAGCAGCAATAATGTTCAGCAAAGTAAGATCTACAAAAAAGTTAATACGACCATAATTGTCAATTGACCCCTTAAGGAGTTATTGCCCTTTAAAGACAATTTTACACAATTTGTTCATCAAGTTTGCCAATATTTAAAAATCTTCTCCTCTGAAACTACTAGGCCAATTACCTTCAAACTTTAAATAAATGTTCCTTAGGGTATCTTGTTTATAATTTGTATCCGAAGTTTGTATCCATCGACAAACATGGCCGCCATGGCTAAAAATAGAACATAAGGGTCAAATGCAGTTTTTGGCTTATATCTCAAAAACTAAATCTTTTAGAGCTAATGTGACATGGGGGTAAAATTGTTTAATTGGTCAAGATCTATCGGCCCTGAAATTTTCAGACGAATCGAACAACCCATTGTTGGGTTGCTGCCACCGAATTGGTAGTTTTAACAAAATTTTGCAGTTTTTTGTTATTATTTTGAATATTTTTATAGATACATATAAACTGTAAGCAGCAATAATGTTCAGCAAAGTAAGATCTACAAAACAGTTAATATGACCAAAATTGTCAATTGACCCCTTAAGGAGTTATTGCCCTATAAAAACAATTTTACACAATTTGTTCATCAAGTTTGCTAACATTTAAAAATCTTCTCCTCTGAAATACAGGTGAGCGATTCAGGCTCTTGAGAGCCTCTTGTTTATATAATGTCGATATGATTTTGTCTGATTTAAAAAAGTAAATATCCAAGTATTTTGAATTTAGATTTGTAAATCCAGTTAAATTTTCGTAAGGGTTTTATTTTTGTTGATAATTTTTATCCATGAAATAAACAAAATTAAATCCCCAACGAAAATTTCTGCTTTTACAGTACAATGCTAAAAGGGGCATTACCTACGAGATATAAAAAAAAAAAAATGATATTTTTTTTGTTCAATCGTTAATGAAAGTGAAATAATAATTTGCTTTTAACAACCAGTTGGTTCAGTTTCGTCAAAATAAGCAAAGAAACATCGCAAATGAATTATTCAATTGCAAGTGAATAATTCGACCTCATTGAGTCTGTATTCATGTGAACTTTAATTGATTGCTATATATAGAGATGGGTTAAGTATGAATTAGGCGTGTTCAGTTATTAAATGGAAATGAATGTAAACATTAGAAGTGAAACAAGGGTAAATCATTTGGTTGACTGATTCAATATAGAAAAACTAATTCTTATACAGGTAAAAATGATTATTAACATATTTTTTTAATCTATAATATGAAATCAAACAGACCTAGAAAAATTCAATTGCACGAGTTCGCAATCTATTTATATCTATGTTTATGTTTATATTGGGTTATATGACCGTCTGCAGTCTTTGGAGGTCACCTGATGATACACCTTTCCACTCTCCTATCAATCATTAGTAAATTGACCAATCATATGTGGTAAATCATTTGATAATTGATCATATGATTCTTTTATCATGTGAATTACTACTTTTAATAATGCAAATATTGATAGGGTATAACTGGATTCATTTTTGTTAGTGGAGTACCAATTTCAGTGGATTTTGTGGCTAAAGATGAACCATAAATGTAAATGATCAAGGAAGTTCAAATAGTCTTATATGTAGGCATAACTACAAAATCAATTATCCATGAAAATGCAGGCATAGCCACAAAATCAATTATCCATGAAAATTCAGACATAACTGCAAAATCAATTATCCATGAAAATTCAGACATAACTACGAAATCAATTATCCATGAAAATTCAGACATAACCACTAAATCAATTATCCATGAAAATTCAGACATAACCACTAAATCAATTATCCATGAAAATTCAGACATAACTGCAAAATCAATTATCCATGAAAATTCAGACATAACTACAAAATCAATTATCCATGAAAATTCAGACATAACTACAAAATCAATTATCCATGAAAATTCAGACATAACTACAAAATCAATTATCCGTGAAAATTCAGACATAACCACAAAATCAATTATCCATGAAAATTCAGACATAACTGCAAAATCAATTATCAATGAAAATACAATTTTTTTCTCAATCCACTAAAATTGGTCCTCACGAAAATAGATGAATCCACAGTAGTAGTAAATGATTGTTTGATCCTGTGAATGACTTACTAAATACCAATGATTGTTTGATCCTGTGAATGACTTACTAAATACCAATGATTGTTTGATCCTGTGAATGACTTACTAAATACCAATGATTGTTTGATCCTGTGAATGACTTACTAAATACCAATAATAGTTTGACTGTGAATGACTTATTAAATACCAATGATTCTTTGATCCTGTGAATGACTTACTAAATACCAATGATTCTTTGATCCTGTGAATGACTTACTAAATACCAATGATTCTTTGATCCTGTGAATGACTTACTAAAAACCAATGATTCTTTGATCCTGTGAATGACTTACTAAATACCAATGATTCTTTGATCCTGTGAATGACTTACTAAATACCAATGATTCTTTGATCCTGTGAATGACTTACTAAATACCAATGATTCTTTGATCCTGTGAATGACTACTAAATACCAATGATTCTTTGATCCTGTGAATGACTTATTATGTTTGATCCTGTGAATGACTTACTAAATACCAATGATTATTTGATCCTGTGAATGACTTACTAAATACCAATGATTGTTTGATCCTGTGAATGACTACTAAATACCACTGATTCTTTGATCCTGTTAATGACTTACTAAATACCAATGATTCTTTGATCCTGTGAATGACTTACTAAATACCAATGATTGTTTGATCCTGTGAATGACTTACTAAATACCAATGATTGTTTGATCCTGTGAATGACTTACTAAATACCAATGATTGTTTGATCCTGTGAATGACTTACTAAATACCAATGATTGTTTGATCCTGTGAATGACTTACTAAATACCAATGATTGTTTGATCCTGTGAATGACTTACTAAATACCAATGATTGTTTGATCCTGTGAATGACTACTAAATACCAATGATACTTTGATCCTGTGAATGACTTACTAAATACCAATGATTATTTGATCCTGTGAATGACTACTAAATACCAATGATTGTTTGATCCCGTGAATGACTTACTAAATTCCAATGATTGTTTGATCCTGTGAATGACTTACAAAATACCAATCAGAGCTACAGATAAGCTGCGTATTTGCGTGATCACGCAATAAAAATAATTAAAAACCCAATGCAATTGCCCATTGCAGGGTTCAATAACCCAATTAATTCAAAGGAAAACCCAATTATATGCCAAAAACATGGGTTCTTAACGCTTTTATTCGCTATCGTTTGCGTTATTTACCCTTACTTGATTTCAGTCGTCGCGTAAATCTATTTTAATAATATTTATAATTGGAAATGTCCTTTCGTTCTAAAAATAGAGCCCTGCATCAAGTAGCTGTAATGGGTCCTTGTTTGAATTTTCCGTTGCTCAAAAGGTACACGTGTTTATGAAAACATTTCGATCTTCTCTTGTTTATCCAATTAGCGTGTGACATGCTGTCACATTTTTTCGAATTGCTCAGGTTTTATCATAACATACAATGAATTAAAACGAAAATAAATGTCCTGTAAAAATATTGAATAGAAGCATGTTTTCGGCTTCTTTTTGATAGCTGAGGGAAAGTTATGATGATAACAAGACTCAGCTAGTGATTTTAGGAAGCGGCCATTGAACGCACGGGCGTGTTTGCGTACCATAACGAGAACATTGCTAGAGCGATAAACACGGGGTTCCGTCAAAAACGAAATCAGTTGGAAAAAGTGAAAGGCCAAATCAATTATGACATGATATGTAGTTTGAAAGCATCGGAAACCAAAAGTTCTGATAAGGGACAACTTAACCCAGATTTATGTAAATTGAATTAAATGAAAACAGTTTATATATTATTTTTTTCATTTTAGTTGATGAGTGAATACACATATCCGTTTTTTACGTCAATGCAGCTTGACACTTTCTTTGTTTTGGTCTAATTGTTCTAGATGCTTAAGATAGTTGTCTTATTGGCAAGTGCAGTATAACATTGTCATTTATTTACTTGATGTTGCAGAATTATTTGTAAATTTAAGTTGAATGTGGTCTCCGTCATTATAAACCACCCTATAAACCTCAAGGTTTTGGGGTATATCTTAAATCTGGAAACTACTTTTTATTTTTATTAAAAAGTAAATCTGGCAAATAGGTGAAAGGACTGGCAAAACTTTCTTACAGCACCTAAATTTCACATATATTACACAAAAATCTAAACACTTAGCCACACCTACCCCAACTATAATTAAACTGTAGGGTGATCATATGGGATCTAGAAAGGCAATTAGTTCCTGTCCAACTAGTGACACCAGCTGCAGTTTACATAAGTTTTGAGAAAATACAAAACTGACAGAACGTTTAAAACGGGACACAAATTAAATGTACAATTGCTTGTCAGTGAATAAACCAAATAAAACAGCTAGCACATATTCTACAAAGAAAGAAACACATTTAAGATAGAAACACATCTGGGGTTGATATAATGTGATTATAACATGCCTAAATATTCAATATTATTAATCGTATATTTTTAAGGATTTGTGATTCGTTAAAACTTGATCACATGTACATTTGTATTTGCTCAGTTTGCACGCCAATACTGTTGTGTTTAGCTTTTCGTAGGTAAAAAACAGCATATTGCACAGGGCATACAGCATGTTACTAAAAATAGATTCTAGAAATCCCCAATTTTACATTGTTCATGCTATAGTTGTTGATTAATAATATAACAATTGTAGCCTTTGGTTGAGGTCAATACGATGTTATATCGACCCAGAGAAGCATATCGACCTCGGACTTCGTCCTCAGTCAATATGCTTCTCTTAGGTCGATATAACCTCGTATCGACCTCATACAAAGGCTATAATTGTATAATATTGTGTTGATGAAAAAAAACCAATACATTAAGGAGCTTGGTGGTGAAAAACCCAATTTGATATTTGCTTGAGGGGTGAATTGGAATTGATAATGCAATTAAAAAACTTTATCACCCAATTACATAAAAAAAATGGTGGGTAAAAACCCCAATTTGTGAATTCTTATCTGGAGCTCTGACCAATGATTGTTTGATCCTGTGAATGACTGCTAAATACCAATGATTGTTTGATCCTGTGAATGACTACTAAATACCAATGATTGTTTGATCCTGTGAATGACTACTAAATACCAATGATTGTTTGATCCTGTGAATGACTACTAAATACCAATGATTGTTTGATCCTGTGAATGACTTACTAAATACCAATGATTCTTTGATCCTGTGAATGACTTACTAAATACCAAGTGTGTAACTTCTTGTTATTGTTTAACTATTTCAGGCAATGACAGATTGTGTTGAAGCTTGTCAGAAGATTTATCCAGCAATGCAGCAGAGTTTACACAGTTCTATAAAAGACAAATTAACTGCCAGTGAAAGATGATTATAACCATGTTTAAAAAAATGTTCACCATTAAGAGTGTTAATGAAGTGGACCTTGGATGCTGTGTGAAAAAAAATATAAATAAGAATTGTATTGTGGGAAATTTCATATGGAATATATGGCCACTGTAAATAAAAAGGGGTTAATTGACTTAGCCTTTGCAGAAACAGAAAAAGAAAGGGAGGCTCCAGTGGGATGTTTTTCTTGTTTACATCCAAGTTATCATAATATGTCTTGATTGCATAATATGGTGTATTATGTTAAAAGTGGAACAAGTAGCAGAGTTGTAGCTTAATTTAACCATTATTCAAAATAAAATGATGTTGACTGTTATCATATAATTTTCTATTTTAACATATAAGGCAATTTCTTTAATTGAAAAAGATAAACTACTGCTGCCAACCAAATGCTAAGCTTTAGGAAAAGATACTCTGCATAGAAATGATTTACAATGAGTAACTTCATGTATATTTGGAAACAACTACTGCAAAGAGGTTATATAGAGCAGCACATGCCTATCGTTAGTCTTTTCGTCCACTTCCTGTTTGATAATTGTCTTGCCTGCGACAAAAGTCACACTATGCAAGACATGGGTATTACAATCCGCCTGCGACGGCGTAAACTATTTGTTTAAAGTTTTATATTTCAGAAGGTAGAAAACCTGGAATGCTTCATAACTTGTTTGCAGATACCTTATGTTAGGAAGTTTCTTTCTGTCATATGTCTATTGTTCTTGACCTCATTTTCATTGACTGCTTGAAAAAAAATTTCAGTTTTTTGGAAAAGTAAAATACTCACTTAATATGTGTAATAGGATAACAATAATTGGTATATGTTTCCTTGCAACGTCTACATGTCCGTCAGGTGGGGTTCATCTGACCTCAACCTTATTCCATCGATCAGTGATCAAGGTTAAAGTTAAGTGGTCAAATCCATATCTCAGATACTATAAGCAATATGTCAACTATATTTGGTGTATTAAATGGTTGTAAGGTGTACATGTCCGACTGACAGGTTTCATCTGACCTCGACCTCATTTTCATGGTTCATTGGACAATTTTTAGTTTTTGCAGTTTGGTCTATTTCTCAGATATTTTAAGGGATCATAGATTTATTCTTACGAGGAAGCTCGGAGCATGCTCGGAGGATGCTCGGAGCTTTTTTAGTATGCTCTTCTCAGCAGTTTATGTGATAAAAATTATCATGATCCATTAAGATGTCAATCAAATCTATAGCACTTCTATAATAAGGAAGATAGAGCATTATAGAGGAAGCTCAATTAACACCTGTGTAAACATCTGGTCTATTCAAATAAATCTTGAATGAAATTTTACAAAACTATATAAAATAGATAAGAAATTCTTCAATAGTACTGTACAATGCTTGGCAAGAAATATCAAGTCTTCACAGAAAGATAATGTTTTTAAAATATTTTCTTATTTATAATCATTCTTTTTCAATACAAAAAAAAAATACTCAAGTTTTATATTTAAAATATAAATATAGCTTAATTAAATTTATACTACATAAAATTAAACATAAAAGTCACCAAAGACAAAAACTATGGTAGCAGATTTATAATCATTTGTTAAACTTTATATGCAATAGCAAACTTAAGTTCTTTAATAGAAAATGATGGCTACTTTGGGAAAAAGTTGTAATTCATAGGCTGGGTTGAAAAACTGTTCACAATATAATAATTATGATAAATTGATTTTACTTCAGCAATCCTCTATATCTATTTCTTGATATAAATTTTTTGATTTTGTTTTTATGATAATTAAATGGATTCAGTGGACCAAAAACTTTACAACAAAAATTATACTTTGTTCTGGAATCCCTTTTGTCTTTTATTTTAAATTCTAGTTCTTCATTACATTGATTTGTATAAAAAATGTCAACTTATTTTTTCTAGTATCTCTTTTAAGCTTAATCAAAATCCAGAAAGTCATAATTACATTTGATATCCCTGAATGATAATTGCAAGATTTCCATTTCATATCAACCTCCTTTTTCTATTTATATATGTGAACAGAAGAGCAAATCATCATAAAATTGAGAAGTCATTTACACAATCTATTTGGCTGTCTGCTTAAAATTTAGAATTTTGATTCATTACCCTAATGCTTTAAGTCAATTGAATACCAGTTTAAAACATACTGTTATTTTATACTATGTATTATAACTGCAGTTAAAAATTCTTGTAATAATTTATTTCAAGTTAGGAAAATGGAATTTAGAAGTTTTAGTGTTTGAGGCCTAGAGAACAGGCAATTTTCTTGAATAATTTGCAGACTTGACTTATATATTCTAGGTCCCTCACTTACAAATATTTAAAGATGTATAGTAATTATAGTTCAATTGGTTTGCTTAAAAGCATTTTTGATTCAGCATACGACTCTTATGACTGTAGGAACATGACAATAGGTAGTCACGACTATACCACTTTAGTTTAGGGGTTAAATTATTATTTATCTACCATATATATAATAATCCAATATCGTCTGTTTCTATCTTATTTTTTTATAACTGTATTTAAAATTGGAATCAATTATTATTATTGAAGATGTTTTTTATTTAACAGCATACAGCATTTTAATATTAACAAAATATTTAATATGGAGCATAAAAGAGGATGCTCTAAGATAATTATCCCTACTGAAACTGTAAAATCGGTTATTCCCTCAAACTATAATGTTTATATAATATATCATGCTGTGATATAAACCTTTTATAATAATGTTTTGCGCCTACACAGATTTCTAAACAGTATTATTGGACAGACTGCAGAGTGACTTGTATCAATATTTACTTTTAAATTGTGTGATCATATTTTACTTGTATGAATTGAATATTAAATAACATAAAACAAGCAAAAAATAATTAATTCAACTCCAAACAACTGCAGCAATGTCCTATACTAATGAACATAATTATGCCTGAAATTCTTACTAACTTTGATTTATGTTGGTTTTTTTTTTTATAATTATACTCATGAAGCTAAAAAGAAAAAAAAAATACTAGTTTGAATCTTATAGAAATTTTTTTTAGTATTTTTAGGATCTGTTTTATATTGATAGTATGTACTGATAAAGGCCTATATAAAATGACTTTCTACATATAGGTGTTAACTGAGCTTCCTCTACATTGCTTTACTTTCCTTTTGATAGAAGTTGTTTATATATATATTAAAAAGTCATTCGAGAAAAGGAAATAGAGGATTGCTGAACTAAAATCCATTCATTTTACTCCGTTATATTGTCAAAATTCTTTCAGGTGTAATACCACCAAAATATAGTACATTCAGTTTCAAGCCAGAAATGGTTGATTTTTTTTTATATTCCATTTAATTTGACAGTTGTTGGGAATTAACCCTGCATTTCGTTGCAGAAAGATTTTTTTGGGTCGTTAACATGTATCTTGGGTGTTTCAAAGCAATAAAAAATTCTATTGGTGTTGCTATAAAATATTTTGGAAATTTAAGGGGACATTGCTACTAAAGCTGGTAAACAGGAAAAAAAAGGGGGAGAGGAATTTGACAGGTTAACTTCTTGTGACATTTAATATCTTATCTGCAATGAAAAGTTATGTTGTATTTTCACTGTAGTACTGGACAGGATAAAACGTCACTCATGTAGAGTATTTCTTTATTTAAAACATAGATAAATTCATCACATTTAATAAAAAAAAGGCAAATTAAACAAAGACTTATGGGGGAAAAACAATTTTATGTTAAATTTTCCCTGTAGTAATTGACAGGATAAAACTTTACTCATGCCAAATATCTCTTTATTTAAAACAAAGATGAATTCTACACAATTAAAAAAAAAGTCAATTAAACAGAGACGTACTAGGGGAAAAACAATGGTGATATTACCCCCTCAAACCAGCCTTCCAATATTAAATTACAACTTTTCCTAAAGTAGCCATAATTTTCTATAAAAGAACTAAGTTTGCTATTTTATATATATAAAAAAAAACATATTACCATTGTTTAGTTAGGGGCATTACTTAAACAATTATTTTTCAAAATTACCTATGCAATTTATGTTAAAAACGATGCTATATCATATATTACTTCTATTTCATGTATAAGTAACTTATTTTAATATCATTTTTATATGTGTCCATTCATACAGGTTTTAATAGCTTTAACAAATTTTCACAGACATCTGGTTATTTTTCCCATGAAATATAAAACTAATCCTCCTGAAACACTAATTGACTTTCTGAGGCACACTTCTGGGTCAATGATTGTCCTCTTGGGACTATTAAAATACCATTTTCCTTTAAAATCTTAATGGTAGACAAATATAAATAGATGGAACCTTGTGATTTAATTAAGACTTGAAGTTATTTATAATGTGTAATCTAAAACAATAACATATATTCCATAAATAATTATAAGTACTAAGTTTTTCAAAGATGTATAAAATAATTTATAAAAGTAATAATTTTGTCCTTATTTTTAAAGTAACCTTTTATCTCTATACTTATCTCACATTTGATAAATACTTAATTTTATTTAATAAAATTATATAAAGTTCTTAAAAACTACATTTAGTCCATGCTACTATTGACATTTAAAATAACTATTGAGTTATTAAATAATTTTTAAAAACGAAAAAAATTATAAGTAACTAAAAAAAAATTAACTTGTTTAGTATCGCCCCCTGACTGTTGTTTGTGTCTTGATGACTTTTATGTAGCATATTATATAGTATAAACTATATCTAAATTATATAATCTAATTATTAAATTTAAGAATTTTTTTTATTATTAAAAAAGAATGGTTTTTCAATATAATAAGAAAATATTTTAATGACTTTTACTTTTCTTTCCAAGCATTTCCCAGTACTGTTGAAGAATTTCTAATCTATTTTATAGTTTTGTAAATTTCATGCAAAATGTATTTGAATATACCAGATGTTTACACAGGTGTTAATTGAGCTTCCTCTATAATGCTTTATTTTCCTTATTATAGAAGTGCTATAGATTTGATTGACATCTTAATAGATCATGATAATTATTGTCACATAAACTGCTGAGAAGAGCCTACTTAAAAAGCTCAGAGCAGCCTCCGAGCATGCTCGGAGCTTCCTCATAAGAATAAATCTATGATCCCCAAGCAATAGGTCAATTATATTTAGGTGTAATACCACCAAATCATAGTACGTCACATCCGGTTGCATACGAAAATAGGTCGAAAAAAAATATTCCCTTGAATTTGACAGTTGTAGGTAATTGATCCTACATTTCATTGCAGTAAAACATTTCTGGGTCATAAACATATATCTTGGGTATTTCAAAGCACCATTATTTTTTTATTTGGG